ATCAGTAGGCTATTCCCGAAGTTTACCCACGAACTATTATAAAGAATAACGTTTCAGGGGCTGTTGTAACTAATCGTTTATCTTATATGATTTGTTGCTTTTGAGGTTCATTCGCGCTTCCGCGGTTTTTCTAAATACGGACATAGTGGTTGGGGCCCGGATCCTTTGATTCTTATTGAAAAAGACGACTATTTTTATTCTGATTTTGGGAATCTGATTCTCAAACCCACCAGGTCACCATGGCATATCTTTGCAGGTACAGCAAATGCTACTATGATGGTAGCACATTTTACCGTTCTGCTTCGTTCCTTATGTCAACATTCACAGCTGGCAGTAATTGAAATGCCAGGGCTTATTTGCAACCACACCACTATATGAGTCCAAATGACTGCTTCCGTATGGATTCAAAGCTACATCCGCATGAAGCAGAGCAGAGGGTCTCTGTAATATTTCTAGAATAGAAAAGAGAGGAAACATTTTGCGGTTTAATCTGTAATGATATTTTGTAGTGCATTGGCATTATTATTAATCACTTTCTGTGTACTGCAGAAAAAAGTGGGCTGTCAGTAACGCAACAGTTGATTTGCATAGCCAATATTTTGCTGGATCTCATGACATTTTTTTTTTTTCTTTGCCATGACGACAAATGTATTGTACGATTAAAGAGAAAGCAAATAACTACAGAGCATTCACATAGCCAAACCAAGCCCAAATTAAACGAACAACATAATAAAAAACTATAGCCTACTTCAGATAGGAACAGATCACAAAATGTCGTAGCCTAAATAAAACAGTAAAATAAATATGGAAAGATGCAACGAAAAGTGAGCGAAATGCGAGATTTTAAGTTTAAAATCAATTCGTTTAGAGTCAATATAATGATCAGGAACATCCTTCATGACAGAAGACAGCACCTGACCCCTATTGCTATTCCCTGCCTATTCCTTTTTCTTTTGTCCGACTGAAAAGAGTCCCTCCGCGCCAGAAATTGCTCGCAATTGCGACAGACAGATGAAAATGCGTGAGGATGCACAAAAACCAAATGGCTGCAATTATGATTCGATTTAATGAGCACAGCTTAGAAAGGCAGGCACCATGCGGTCAGAAAGTGCGATCAAATCACATAAACTAGTAGACCTATACAAATAGGCCTAAACAGATATGCTTAATAATAATAATGTAGAAACTATTCCTTTTGTGCTTAATAATAATAATGTATAGAAACAATTCCTTGGTCTTTACATATTCCATCATCATAATCTAAGGACTTTAGTAAAACAAACAATGCGCGTTTAAATGTTACATGGTGTCGTTTACATCTCGTTTTATACGTACACATCATTTGCTTTATACGTTTTGTTTTTAATAGGCTATCGATTCTTAGTTAAAAAAAAAAAAAACATACAAACGTAAATTTATAGGTGATTTATGTGCGCGTTTCTTTAGTCTAAATATAGAGCTTACGGACTGTTTCATGCAAAAGCAGAAGGAAACTTCCCAGATGGCACAGCCACCGAAAGCTACGGATTAACTAGTAAGGGTCACAATGTAATTAACTTTAATTGTACACATCATAGAGGCACAGCCATTAAACAGATGCAGAATGGAAGCCGGTTTGTGGAGAGAGTTCGTGCTCATGTAAGCGCACTTTCTGATCACTCATTTGACGTATTTTATTCAGTGTGTGTTTTTAAGCGATTTAATATTCACAAAATATGATTACTTTTTTTTATACCATCCACACACTTCAAAACGCAAATTGTAAGACTGAAAGCTATGAACACACTGCTATTCTCACTGAGAATACATGCGCATTTCAGACAGCAGAATTCAAACTCTGTCAAATGTCAGACAGCATAAGCAGTTTGCCAATGACGCCGTGAAACAGATATGATTATAGGGTATTCTTGATACGCTACACATGGCTCATACAGAAACCCCTGGCCCATAAATATAATCACCTCTCGAGAGATGCACAGCGCTAACTACATTACTGCGGAGTAATATTATGATGTACGGAGAAACCCCGCCATAATAATAAGACGTAATGACATTTCATTCCCTGTGCTTTCAATGAGTTCAGTCAGAGATGACATCAGAAACCAAAGAGTTTGGAATAGTGAAGAGATTTTGAAACTCATTACATAATAACCTACATGCATTAAACAATTAACCCTATTAATTCAAACGGGCTGGAGTTGCACAGCTGTTTCAAGAAGCCATTTGGTCAGGCTAACAAAATGAGATGAAACACTGGATAAATGTTAAGAAACATTTATTTAAATAACAGATTCTATTATTTTAAAAACGCAGATCCATCTCACAGGTCACACTTCAAGATGTCCCATAATTCTTGTCCGGTCAATCTTCATCTGGTAGTTTTGTCAGAATCTCTACACCATCGCTGGTGATTACAACCGTGTGTTCAAATTGGGCCGATCTGAGTATTAACACACAAGAAAACAAACACACAGGTGAACATGTTGAGATTTAGTCATTTATCTAAAATCAGTGGTTCTCAACCAGGGGTCTGGGACCCATAAGGGCCTCAGCAAACTTCTATGAGTGCCGCAAGATGACAAAGTAATTTAAAATAAGACGAAACAAGCATTAACAACTAAAATATATAAATGTGTGATTTCAATACCTGGAAAAATTCTATAATAATAATAATGTAAAAAGAATAATAAGATTTTACACCATTAGCATTTTTATATATTTATATACAATTCTTGTCTAGTTATGCCAAGCTCTAAAACATTTTGTCAGGTAAAAATGGTTAGTTTAAATATTTTTTTAAAATCCCTTAATCCTTTTTCAGTAAATCACAATGAGGGCCTTGGAGTCAAAAAGGTTGAGAACAACTGCCTTAGATGTAGAATTAAAATAAGGAATCTATCCATTTTCTTATATTGCATATTACCCCAGTCAACCTTAAAAATCAGAGCTCTAATCAACCACTGACCAAGTAGTAACACTCTGCTCTCACCTGCCAACAGGGCAATCAGCTCATTTGCAATTAACACTGAACTGCTCTCCAGTGAAATATATGCAGTTAAAGGAAGGTTTATGCCAGAGTACTTAGCTCTCTATTTGCTTCAAATTCTGAGGGTACTTAGTCTTTCCAAGCTAAATGTCAACAGCCAATAGAAATAAAGTTCTTGAAGATTCTCAATAGAATTTGGCCACTTATTCTTGCATGAAGTAATGAATGATTAATGTAGGCTACATTTAAATGGCTGCATTGGGCTCTCATTAGAAGTGTGGAAGGAGAAATTGAACACAACATGCACCTTTTGTCATCCACAGATACAGCAGTCCACTTGTCCTTCAGGATCTTGAATTCTGAGGATCCTTCCATAAGAATGGGTTCTGGAAAAATGGACGGATGGTTTAACTTCCTGAAAACGTACAAATTCATGCTTCCGCTGATGTTCTTAATAACATTCAATCAGTCGGTCATCTAAAACAAAGATGAGTACACACATACTGTACAGACCTATGGTGAAGGACATGCCCTCTTCCATCTGTAGGTCATTGTCATTGGCTGTAAAAGAGAAAAGAAGCATGAACCACCATTGGTGCTTGGGCCCTAATTAATGGTAAAACATCTTAGCTGATCACATTAATGAACTGTATTCATATATATGTATTCATAAAACTTAAAATAAATTAGAGTTAATTCATCCAAAACTAAAAATTATGCCATCATTTACTAACCTTCATTTTAATCTAAACCTGCACTATAGAAGATATTAGGGTCCAAACTATATTAAATATTTGACTTTCATTGTAAGGACAATGCAATTAGATTACTTACTTTCATTGTAGGGACAAACAAAAACAACAACAAAAACCCCTGTGACATTTTTCAAAATATCTTCTTTTGTGTTCTACAGAAGAAATTCAGTTATACAGGTTTGGACAACATAAAAAAAAAAAAAGAGTAAATAATGACAGAACTTTCATTTTTGAGTGAAGTATAAAGTATAAGTCAACCATGGCAAATTGAGATATAATTTCTGAATATTAAGTCAAATAAATTAATAATACATCAAATAATGATGTATAAACTCTCACCATGATGCCATATCTCTGGATAACCATGGAAATATGTTCCGATCCCATGACCGATAAAATATGGACACACACGGAATCCATTTGAATTTGCTACTTTGCTGTAATTCAGAAAGAAAAAAGAAGTACTCAAATTTATGTTTTAGCCAGGTTTATTCTGGTTGATGTATGATAAATTGCTTGTATATTTTCCTCTTTTGGATAAAAGTGTCTGATAAATGATTATAAGTGTAAAATTAAATTTTCTCATTGGGTAAAAAAAAAATTCTGGTTTACCCACGTGCCTACACCCAATTAGGGCGTTGCCTGTGAGATGTCAAATTTAACTATGTTGCCTACATGTAAATAACATTTTCACTGTGAATAAGGCATGCTTGAAATGTTCTCGCATAGTTGTTTTTTTATATTCCGGGAGGGGGAAGGTAGAGGACAAAGGTGTATAACAGACAAAAAGAAAAAGATGCAAGAGAAAGAATAAAAGACCGAGACAAAGAATTGTAAAGAGAGAGAGCAGCAGAGAGGATGCTAGGGTGCCAGCATGATAAAAAAATAAATAAAAGCAAGAGATGGAGAGAAGGAGTGAAAGAGAGGTCTAAGTGCTTTTTCCTGAGGAGAGGTAATTGTTCCCTCTGTGTGTATATAATAACAGTGTATGTCCCTGCAGAAGCTCAGAATCCTACGCAGGGAGAGAGAAAGAGAGAGAGAAACAAAAGCATTGCTTCCTCAGACACAGAGGACATTTCTACTGCTACACTGCACAAAATGAACAAAAAGCTCATTTAATCACTCGACTGAATTATTTTTAAGATTGAAGTAAAATACACATTTATATGATGAAAGTAAAAATAAAATATTCACAATTTTTTAGCTATACGTTTTGACCTTGAACCCATTTCAGCATCTTCACAATTGATATTGTGCACATTTAAGTCTTTGCATTAGAAGTGGAAATTCAATAGGATGTTGTTAAAGATGTTTCTGTACTGTATGTGAGTGATTAAGTATGTCCTCTCTCTGTGAAAAGGCTCCTGCGGATCTTTTCGTGTCTCTGTGGGGAGCTGAATCCACCCTGGCAGAGTCTACGATTCTCAAAGACAGCAGGAGCAAGCCTGTAATTTACATCGCTCGCTCTCTCTCTCTCTCTCTCTCTCTCTCTCCCCCTCACACACACACACACACGGACACTTGCACACATGCACACATCCAACAAGACAAACTAACCTGTAATTTACACCCCATTGCAGGAAAAACCCCATTGCACTCTGGGTAATTGCTTGCTCGGAGCTCACTGAGAAATACATTAACTCTGTGCAGTCCTTCTTCAGACACTACACTATCAAATAAGGACTGACGAGGCAAGATTGCTGTCTTTTTTCTACTTTTGTGCACAAGAGGGATAACAGAGAGGTTTAGAGGTTAGATGTGCTTTTTTTAACAAGAGCAAGTTGGAAAATGCAGTGAATAAAAGAAAATTTCCCACAGACATCACTCTTGAAGGTGCGAGATGCTGTCAGGAATTCAATCTGGGATGATTGTGGGAATGAACACACACCTGATAGTGTTGCCAATGACGCACAGAGGTTGACCTGGTCCACAGGCGGCAATGGCCTGATCTCTGCACTGTCGAGCCACATCCACTAACTTCCTGCCCTGTTCATTCACTGAGCCAATCAGAAATGTTTCTGAGGTGTCTCCGTGGTAACCTTCTAGATAAACCTACAAAATACATATAGCATCCACTATTTACATTTACATTTTATGATTTAGCAGATGCTTTTATCCAAAGCGACTTACAAATGAGGGTATCAAAACAACAAAAGAGTAACAATATGTAAGTGTTGTGACAAGTCCCGGTTAGTCTAACGCAGTATACTGTACACATCAAAGTTTTTTTTTTCTTAGAATAAATTAAAAGAATAAAAAGTAGATAGAATAGAAAAAGAATAGAGAACACTAGTGTTAAAGGGTCAAGTTTTTTAAACTTTATTAATTTTAAATCTAACAGCAATTAACTAGCTTAGAATTTAAACAGAGGACTCACTGTGACATCTATATTGATGATATCTCCATCCTGCAATGGCCGACTAGAAAACAAAATACAATACTGACAGTATGTAAGGTGTTAAAAATACATAAATACAAAAAAATAAAAATTAATACGTACATGCTTTTAACTTCTGAATTAAAATTAATTTCTATATATTTTTGGGTGCATAAAATACGAAATGACACCATAAGAAAAGAAGCCTCAGTAGAGCAGAATAAAATTCTTAAAAAAATTAAGTAGCTGGTATTTTCTTAGAAAAATGTTTTAACAAAACTGCTTATTAATATTTGAAGAAGAAAACAAAATTGTAGTCATGAGGTGCAACCATTAAAATCATGTGGTGCAACTATAACATCCAGAAAAAACCCTGATGTTGTGACTCTCTAAAAACTTTTTAGTTATAAATTAAAAATTATATTTTTATCTTGACAAATTTATCTATTTATTACAATAACTCGCATCTAGGGCTGGGTTATATGACGATATATATCGGATGGACGAAATTAAAAGTCTATCGTTTCATATTATGCTCTATCGTTTATTTCGTGGTGCCGCAACATACATTGTTTACGGCAATACTTTTTTATCATTTGAATGACGGCAGTCTTACATGCATTACACGGGGATGCAGGCAGAAAGGTGAATAACAGCATGCGCGCTCACGTCACTTTGCTGTGCGCGTGGTCATGAAAACTTCATGTTTGCACGCTTTTTTAAGCACTGCAGTTTAAAACAACTGATTTTAGGCCGTTGAAACACAAACAACAGAGCTATATGCGCGCGCTGTCTCTGTTTCTGTGTGAGAGAAAATCTCTCACTGCTCTTGACTAATTCACTTTTGTAAATAGGATAAGAAAAATAAATAAATAAATAAATAATAATGCTAATAATTATGCATATATATATATATATATATATATATATATATATATATATATAGATTGTGGGAATGAACACACACCTGATAGTGTTGCCAATGACGCACAGAGGTTGACCTGGTCCACAGGCGGCAATGGCCTGATCTCTGCACTGTCGAGCCACATCCACTAACTTCCTGCCCTGTTCATTCACTGAGCCAATCAGAAATGTTTCTGAGGTGTCTCCGTGGTAACCTTCTAGATAAACCTACAAAATACATATAGCATCCACTATTTACATTTACATTTTATGATTTAGCAGATGCTTTTATCCAAAGCGACTTACAAATGAGGGTATCAAAACAACAAAAGAGTAACAATATGTAAGTGTTGTGACAAGTCCCGGTTAGTCTAACGCAGTATACTGTACACATCAAAGTTTTTTTTTTCTTAGAATAAATTAAAAGAATAAAAAGTAGATAGAATAGAAAAAGAATAGAGAACACTAGTGTTAAAGGGTCAAGTTTTTTAAACTTTATTAATTTTAAATCTAACAGCAATTAACTAGCTTAGAATTTAAACAGAGGACTCACTGTGACATCTATATTGATGATATCTCCATCCTGCAATGGCCGACTAGAAAACAAAATACAATACTGACAGTATGTAAGGTGTTAAAAATACATAAATACAAAAAAATAAAAATTAATACGTACATGCTTTTAACTTCTGAATTAAAATTAATTTCTATATATTTTTGGGTGCATAAAATACGAAATGACACCATAAGAAAAGAAGCCTCAGTAGAGCAGAATAAAATTCTTAAAAAAATTAAGTAGCTGGTATTTTCTTAGAAAAATGTTTTAACAAAACTGCTTATTAATATTTGAAGAAGAAAACAAAATTGTAGTCATGAGGTGCAACCATTAAAATCATGTGGTGCAACTATAACATCCAGAAAAAACCCTGATGTTGTGACTCTCTAAAAACTTTTTAGTTATAAATTAAAAATTATATTTTTATCTTGACAAATTTATCTATTTATTACAATAACTCGCATCTAGGGCTGGGTGATATGACGATATATATCGGATGGACGAAATTAAAAGTCTATCGTTTCATATTATGCTCTATCGTTTATTTCGTGGTGCCGCAACATACATTGTTTACGGCAATACTTTTTTATCATTTGAATGACGGCAGTCTTACATGCATTACACGGGGATGCATGAATAACAGCATGCGCGCTCACGTCACTTTGCTGTGCGCGTGGTCATGAAAACTTCATGTTTGCACGCTTTTTTAAGCACTGCAGTTTAAAACAACTGATTTTAGGCCGTTGAAACAAAAATCTCTCACTGCTCTTGACTAATTCACTTTTGTAAATAGGATAAGAAAAATAAATAAATAAATAAATAATAATGCTAATAATTATGCATATATATGGTATCAAAGATTTTAATATCATAAAAACCTTATTAAAAGAAAAAAAAAACTATATTGTGATATATATCGTGATATAAAATTACTCATATCGTGATACAAGATTTTGGTCATATCGCCCACCCCTACACCCCTGGTTACACTACTTGACTTTTTGAGTCAATGAATTCAGACCTTTCTTGAAAACGGTATAAAAGTTTTTAAACAATAAATACAACACAAATACAAAGAGTACATTACAATCCTGCTACTAGAGGGCAAAAACCCTGAAAAGTTTAGCTCCAACCCTAAACACACCTACTCTAATTAACCGAGATCTTTAGAAGTGGTAGAAACATAGCCGCTTTAAGTCAAGTCTCCAAAGTTAACAGAAAAATGTGTAATGCTGCAGCACTCTAGAGAGAATGGATGTCAATACGCTGAACAATATGCTTTTTTGAGAAAGCAGCTTATCAATTAATGAACCGGCAACCTGTCCACTAATCTTCAACCTGTTTGCCATTAAACATTTATTTTGGAGTGAAAAATATTTTGAGCAAAAATTGTTTTATAAGAGTAGTCACAGACAATTTCGAAAGAGGTAGGAATCAGTTAAGACACTTCTCATTCATTTCTATGGAATCTGCGAACAGTGACTGACTGTCACACAATGACAGAAATTCAGCACGGCATGCATGATCCAAGTTGGCTGTTATGCTTTCTCCAATTGTAGAGCCACAGAGGTTGGTATCTACCAGTAATAAGACCATATCTGCTGGAAACGTCTAGGCATGCGTGTTGGAGCAGGTTGGAACTAAACTCTGCAGGATGTTGGCCCTTCAGGAGCAGGACTGTTCCATGCCACTGACACATATACTAACAAACAAAAGTATAGACATGCAGTCACAACAAAGCACTTATGTTTGATAGCACTGAGTTACCTGTCTGGAATGCCATGGCATACTACATTGTTAACAGAGGTGCAGACTGACTTCGGAAAGCCCCCGTAATGTAAAGGAGAGGGGTAGGCATTGTGACGAATGGCTTCCTGATGGACTATAAAGTCTATTTCATCGGTCGTCATACCAACCTAGAAAACAAACAATATAGGTGACAGCGTCTGCAAAAAAACAATTCAAGGATGTGTCACATCAAGCTTATTCACCGTTACATTCTCAAATTCCAGGAAAGTGTAGAGTATACCTTCAAACTCTTTCCTGCCAGGAGCAGTATGTGTCTGGCTAGTTGACATGCTCGTCTCAATCCCTGGATCTGCTCCTCATCTTTAAACTCTATGTAATCTGGCCACTCAGGCACTTTGCTGGATGACACATAGTCTGGCTTCTGGATGTGCTGAGAGAAGAGAGTATATATAAAGAACATTTGTGATGCATAAAGCTCAAAAATCAATTCTTTTTTCCAATTTAATCAATATTAAATTGTTAGTGTCACTTGTTGAGGCTGTAATTACCTTGGGTACAGCATAAGAGGGACGCACTACAGCAGGCCAGACCACACTGTGAGAACTATTTGATTTCTTCCAGAAGAAACATCGGTGAGGTGGGCATTGGTGGGCAGCAGATGAGCTTCTATGGCAGCTGGGCAGCTGTGCTACTCTCTGTAGCAGCCTTGAACCACCTATACACAGCCAAAGAGATGAACAAAGGATGTGATTATGCACTGCGAAGTGGATTTCTCAGAGGTGTGTGAAGTGTGATGTTTGTTTATTCATTTTTTTAACACCATGTTAGCATCGGGGCTATTTACATGGCAAACACAAGGTCAGCATCATCTGATTTTTTAGCATCGTTACTCCAGTCACACGAGCCTTCAGAAATCATTCTAATATTCTGATTTGCTGCTCAAAAAAACATTTATTACTATTATGTTTTAAAGGTCCCATATTGTTAAAACTGAAATTTCCTGGCTTTTTTCATGATAACTGAGGTCTAGGTGCTATGTAACTACCATATAAGTTTCAAAACAGTCAGTCCACAGTAAAATTCACACAGCCTCCATAAAGTAGCTGTGATTTTTCACGAACCGCTGTGACTTCCGTAAAAAGTTGATGTCAGAACATCTCGGTTACGTATGTAACCTTGGTTCCCTGAATAGGGGAACGAGATGCTGCGATGACGTCATCGCTTTGGAACACCTTCGGTGTGACGAATGTCTGAAGCCCTTATACCATCACGCCAATTCATTGGCCAAATTGCGCTTAGCACCGCCCCCAATGCGCACGTAGGTGAGCTATATAGCGTGCTGTGCGCTATTTCCATCAGATTTCACTGATTTACGAAGGAAGCGCTATCAAGGTATGGAACGGCCCAGCATCGCAGCATCTCGTTCCCCTATTCAGGGAACCAAGGTTACATACGTAACCGAGATGGTCCCTCTCATAGGCTCACTTCGATGCTGCGATGACGTCATCGCTTTGGGAACGCTATACCATAATGCCTGACGTACCTTAGATAGCTAGAAGACCAAGGAAAGCGTCTGCTCAAGCGGATAAGACCCGGGAGCCAGGAGCCATCCTCACGTCCAGACTGTAAAACTTGATGAAGGTGCTAGGAGAGGACCATCCTGCCGCAGCACAAACATCTTCCATCGAGGACCCCTTGAAAAAGGCCTGAGAAGAAGCCACTGCTCTCGTAGAATGAGCACGCACCCCTAGAGGCGAAGTCAAGCCA